AGATTATTGATGGTGGAAACAAGAAGTTTTGAGAAACCGAGAAAATTAAGCAAATTCCAAATCCTCACTCTTCAATAAGTAACATATGCTGTTTATATGTGCACTCTCTATCCCCTTTATCATAAAAGCATTTGGGTTTTCCTTGAGGTGTTGCTATAATTCTAGAGACTGTGGATCCAAAACTAGTCACTGCACAGGACGGAGTGTTTTGTTTTGTTTTTCAAAATAGCATCTGCTTCTCCATTGCTTGAGGTTTTACAATAAATCACAGCAAAGACAGATTAGTGGGGAAACTGTATATTAGGCAATTAGTGGTGTATGTAAAATGTCATTTATCACATGATGCTGCCATTCATCACAGTGATGCATCAAGAAGACCAATGAATAAAGTATGCTGACAGAGCAGATGTCCAGCAGAGGGCAGCTGTGCAAAATGCAAAGCTATCCTTTGGTATTAGGTGATCTTATTTCATCTCATAACACAAATATATACTTCATTATTATTACTTCCCAGCATAAAATTTCCTTAATAATAAAAAAAATCTGGGCAGCTTCCCTCATATATTTTGCACAAGTATATTCATATCTTTAATAAATGTAATAGCTACAAGATTGGGTTAGTAGGAGATTAATACATGTAAATAAATACCAAAATAAATAATGTTTGTCGCATGCATCTTGACAACTGAATGTTCAGATTAAGGCTGCCAAACCAATGAATATTTACTTTTTAAATGGGAACTTTTATAAGTAAGCTTCAAATGGTCCATGCACAGCAAAATAGAGATACAATAGCAGAGCAGTGGGTTGTTGTGGGTTTTTTCGGGCTATATGGCCATGTTCTAGAGACATTCTCTCCTGACGTTTCACCTGCATCTATGGCAAGAATCCTCAGAGGTAGTGAGGTAGCAGAACACATTATTTATATGCTGGACACAGCATATTATTTGAGAACACAGAAATACTGGACCAGTCTCTCAACCACCATGTTAGACTACACAGAGAAACCACAATTTCAACAGAAAGGAGGAAACTATGAAAATGAAAAAAATCTGACTACCAGTATTAAAAAAAATCCCTCTAAAATCAGGTCAGTAAATAAAGAACAACATTCAGAAAACAAGGAATTTTAGACAGGAAACAATCAGGGCCTGCTAACACCTCTCAACCAAGGATTCCCCCAGGCAGGAAGCAGCCAGGCTTTGAAGCTGCAAGGTTATTCAGTGCTAATCAAGGTGGCCAGTTGCAACATTCACACCTGCCTCAAACAGACAAGAGTTCTTTCTCCCACCCTGAACATTCCACAGATGTATATTAACCCCACTTGCCTAGTTTCCAGCTTTGTTTCAGTGTGTAGCTATCCAAGTGCATATATTTTACAACCTCTGAGGATGCCTGCCATAGATGTGGGTGAAACGTCAGGAGAGAATGCTTCTGGAACATGGCCATGCAGCCCGGAAAACTCACAGCAACCCAGAGCTACAATAGCTTCAAATTCTGAGCATGGATATGTGATGCACAGGTTGTTAACAGGAGTGGCGCTCAGGGAGCATACAACCCCCTTGTTGCGCCAGCTCCACTGGCTGCCTGTTTGCTACCGGGCCCAATTCAAAGTGCTGGCTTTGGCCTATAAAGCCCTAAACGGTTCTGGCCCAACTTTTGTGTCCGAACGTATCTCCTCTTACGAACTACTGAAGACTTTAAGATCATCTGGGGAGGCCCTGCTCTCGGTCCCACCTTTGTCACAAGCACGTTTGGCGGGGACGAGAGACAGGGCCTGCTCAGTGGTGGCCCCCTCGGCTAAAAATGCCCTCCCTAAGGAAATCAGATCTTGTCCCTCTCTCTTGACGTTTCAGAGGCAAGTTAAAATGTGGCTATTCAAACAAGCGTTTACAAATACAGAGTAGCTAATATAGGAAATCGAATGACCTGACAATGGAATTGGACAATGCTTGAGAATAATGAGACACTGATGATGTTGCTTTTATTGTTTTTGTGATGTCTTATACTGTTAATGTTTTTTATCTATTATGTTTTATGTATACTGATTTGTTGGAAACCGCCTTGAATCGCCAATTGGCTGAGAAAGACAGTATACAAATACAGTAAATAATAAATAAATATCTTGGCTAGTTAAAAAGCACCTAATAGAATTGTTCTTCACGGGTTCATTTGATCCATTTAAAAAGCACCAGACTGAATAGCACTATATAGAATGTAACTTCTGAAGTCATAGAATCATAGAATCATAATTGGAAGAGACCTCGTGGGCCATCCAGTCCAACCCCCTGCCAAAAAGCAGGAATATTGCATTCAAAGGACCCTTGACAGATGGCCATCCAGCCTGTTTAAAAGCTTTCAAAGAGGGAGCCTCCACCACACTCCGAGGCAGAGAGTTCCACTGCTGAATGGCTCTCACAGTTCTTAAGCTCTTAGTAGAAATCGTTTGGATAACTTTTCTGAAGCCAATGCACAAGAAGTTTGCCTCATGGCAGCTGGGAAGTAAAATGTGATTTTATAATTGAGACTGCCAAGTAGCATTGCTAGACCAGCCTTTCAGATATAAATTTGCAGTGGGAAAATATATGCACTTGGATAGCTACACACTGAAACAACACTGGTGACATATGCAGTGAAAAAGTATATAATGTCTCAGGTGTCTATAAAACCACAACCCTAAATCTACATAGAGGGAATTAAATCCCACTAGACTAATTGCATGTGGCTCCCTTCCAAGTAAGGATACATACATCAGGTTGCATATAATGAATGTGAATGAAATGTTTTTCTAGTACTTCAGACCCATTAGTTCCCAGATCTTTTTACTACTGAAAGCATAGGACTCAAAAGCTTATTCTTCAATGAGAACAAGTTAGCAAGCAATGTTATCTGCATTTAGGCACCAAATAGAACTCTTTCCTTTTAATACCTGAATGGGAGAATGGTGGTAGAGATGGCAAGTCAAGTAAAGATTGGAGTTGGCTCCATTAAGTTTAATAGTTGTGTAGAACAACGAATCTCTGCAGATGTTTCTTTCTATGGGCCCTTCCAGACAGGCCCTATGTATATCCCAGGATCTGATCCCAGGTTTTCTGTTTTAAACTGGATTATATGAGTCCACACTGCCAGATAATCTGGGATAAACAGAAAACCTGGAATCAGATCCTGGGATATAGGGCCTGTTTGGAAGAGCCCCTAGAGCAGTGGTTCTCAACCTGTAGGTCCCCAGTTGTTTTGGCCTTCAACTCCCAGAAATCTTAATACCTGGTAAACTGGCTGGGATTTATGGGAATTGTAGGCCAAAACATCTGGGGACCCACAGGTTGAGAACCACTGCCCTAGTGTCTCAATCAATTCCATCGAGGGGCTTTTCCACACAGCCATATAACCCAAAATATCAAGGCAGAAAATCCCACAATATCTGCTTTGAACTGGGTTATCTGAGTCCACACTGCCATATATTCCAGGTCAAAGCAGATAATGTGGGATTTTATTCAGCTGTGTGGAAAGGATCCTAGTTTGTGGCAGGCACAAAAAATGAAAGTTTCTGGAGTATAACAACTACTTTCAAAGCACAATTAAACTGGAAATAACCCTTTCAAACGAGGAACAGATTTATTTTTTTAAATTTTGTTACATGGTGTTATGGATAATGGACTAGTTTCTGTATATATTTCAGATTTTGATATTGTCGAAAATATGTAGTATAGTTTTACGTAGCATTACAACAGTAAAGACAATGATCACTTAAGTATGAAAATCATTTTGAATATTAAATAACAGAAAAATAAATTAAATAAGTGTAAACACTAAACTCATTAGTACTCAGGGCCCTTACAGACAGACCCTATATTCCAAGATCTGATCTTAGGTTTTCTGTTTATTCCAGATTATCTGGCAGTGGGGACTCATATAGAATCATAGAATCATAGATTTGGAAGAGACCCCGTGGGCCATCCAGTCCAACCCCCCGCCAAGAAGCAGGAAAATCGCATTCAAAGCAGGGCTGTAGTCAGAAAAAAAATTCGGGAGGGGTTGAAATTTTCGGGGGGGGGGTTGAAAATTTTGTGGGGTGGGGTGGGGGGTGGGGTTGAAACCTGCCTCCTAGCTCACGCTGAATCAAAGAGCACAGAGCAGCCTTCAATAGCCTGCAGCTCCGCCCCTGTTGACCACCTCCACCAAGTCTGGCCTCCTTAATGAGAGCATTCAACAGTCCCCACACACACCCCCAACTTGGTTGCTTCACTACATTGGCTATTGCTGCAAGTAATGACAGTGTGAATAAATTGTCAATATTTGCTTGAGATAGTGCTTGCAGTTCTGGAGGGACTCTTAATTTTTTGTCTCATAGACTTAGCATGGGGATTTGGTTAACCAGTTAAAATTCATGAGTAAACCAGTTTTTTTAAAAAATCTGAAACATTTCGGGGGGGGGTTGAACCCCTAACCCCCCCCCCCCCCCGCTACAGGCCTGATTCAAAGCACCTCTGACAGATGGCCATCCAGTCTCTGCTTAAAAGCCTCCAAAGAAGGAGCCTCCACCACACTCTGGGGCAGAGAGTTCCACTGCTGAACAGTTCTCACAGTCAGAAAGTTCTTCCTCTAATGTTCAGATAATCCAGTTTAAGACAGAAAACCCTGGGATCCGATTCTGAAATATAGGGCCTGTCTAGAAGGGCCCTAAATTTGTTCCAGTTGGTCTCTCCCATACATTTTTGTGGGGTGAGTGTTGGAGTGGCCTGAAAGAACCCCCCATAACTAGGGGGCCCTTCCACACAGCCCTATATCCCAGAATATCAAGTCAGAAAATCCCACAATATCTGCTTTGAGCTGCGTTATCTGAGGCCACACTCAGAAAATGTGGGATGTTCTGCCTTGATGTTCTGGGATATGGGGCTGTGTGGAAGGGCAGGGCCCTGGGAGGCTGGCCGGAGAAAAAGCAACCCGGCCATCAGCAGAGGGAGCTGCAGCCCTGGGCCGGGCGAGGAAAGGGAGGAAGGAAGGGAAGGAAAGAAGGGAAGGAAAGAAGGCAGGAAGCAGGCGAAGAAGGCAAGCAGGCAGCGGCCTCTCCTGAACCAAAGGCGGTCGGGGCTCCGGCTGAACGGTAACAACACCCGATGCCTTTCCCTCCGAGGTTTGCCCGCTTTGTGTCCAGGAGCGGATCCACTGGATTGGCTTTAATACTGGGGGTTGGGCGTGTGTGTGTGTGACCCCTCCTCATCCTCGGGATCAGGGCTCTAGGAGGAGAGAAGGAGAAAGAAGCAAAGATGCCAATCTCTGTCTGTGTTTCTTAAGCTTTGGTAACATTCCTTGCTTGAGCGTTTCCGGCTGAGAAAGGACAGCCCTGAGCTCTGCGTCAAAGACTTCCTAAAGCTTTTTAGGTGGCAGAAATTGTTTCATTGGGGCGGGAAAATATCCTAAAAGCACCCACCTTTAATGGGATGGAGCCACACTGTCACAAAGGACCCTTCTTGTTTCCTTGGACAGCCTTTCTCCCCTAAAAGGGAGTGGGTGAAATGCCTTCTGTTTTGACAACAAGGCCTTCCTCCACCTTGAGAACAAAGAGACCCTTCCCTTGGGCTTCTTCCAGATGTTTGTGCAGGTTGAGTAAATAAATAATAATAATAATAATATCCCATATGTCAGTGGTTCTCAACCTTCCTAATGCCACGACTCCTTAATACAGAGCCTCATGTTGTGGTGATCCTCAACCATAAAATTATTTTCGTTGCTACTATTATGATTCGTAATGTAAATATCTGATAAGCAGGATGTATTTTCATTCACTGGACCACATTTGGCACAAAGACCCAATATGCCCAAGTTTGAATACTGGTGGAGTTTGGAAGGGGGATTGATTTTGTTTGGGAGTTGTAGTTGCTGGGATTTATAGTTCATCTACAACCAAGGAGCATTCTGAACTCCATCAACGATGGAACTGAACCAAATTTGGCACACAAAACTCCCATGACCAACAGAAAATACTGTAAGGGTTTTGTAGGCATTTACCTTAAGTTTGGGAGTTGTAGCTGCTGGCATTTATAATTAACCTACAATCAATAAGCATTCTGATCTCCACCAATGATGGAACTGAACCAAATTTGGCACACAGAACTCCCATGACCAACAGAAAATACTGGAAGGATTTGGTGGGCATTGATCTTGAGTTTGGGAGTTGTAGTTCACCTACCTCCAGAGAGCACTGTGGACTCAAACAATGATAGATCTAGACCAGACTTGGCACAAATTCTCAGTATGCCCAAATGTGAACACTGGTGGAGTTTGGGGAAAATAGACTTGACATTTGGGAGTTGTAGTTGCTGCGATTTATAGTTCACCTATAATAAAAGAGCATTCTGAACCCCACAATGATAGAATTGGGCCAAACTTCCCACACATAACCCCCATGACAAACAGAAAATACTGTGCTTTCTGATGGTCTTTGGTGACCCCTTTGACACCCCCTCGTAACCCCTCCAGAGGTCCAGAACCTCAGATTGAGAATCACTGCCATATGCAAAGTGTTTGGGACCAGAACAACACACACACACACACATATACTTTTTATAGAGAGAGATTACATATAAGCACAGAATCAGATATCTTGGAGATAGGACTTGAAATTCATATATGTGTGATATACACCTTATGCACATGGCCTAAAGGCTCTTATGCATTTTTAAAATAATTTTGTGCATGAAATGAAGCTTGCATGCATTGAACCATCAGAAAGCAAAGCTGTCACTATCTCAGCCACTCCTCCAGATAATTTTGAAGTATTTTTTATTTCCACATTCTAGATAAAGGGTGCTCAACCTGTATTTGTTTAGTTACTTATTTGATTGATACCCTGCCTTTCCCCTTTTATTTATATCTCATGTACAAAGGTCTAGAATAGAATAGCAGACACAATCCTCACAGCCCTCATGCTCCATTTCATGCCTTCACTGACTGCCTTGAACAGCTGACGTGGCACAATTAAGGTGATTTAGAATAGAAACAATGGGCACATGGAGAGGGAAGGTTTTAGCTTCTGCTATACTAGGCAAGGGCAAACTTGGGACCTCCAGGTGTTTTGGACTCCAACTCCCACAATTCCCAACAGCCTCAGACCCCTTCCTTTCGCCCCTCAGCTGCTTAAGCAGCTGAGGGGAAAAAGGAAAGGGCCTGAGGCTGTTAGGAATTGTGGGAGATGGAGTCCAAAACACCTGGAGGGCCCAAGTTTGCCCATGCCTAAGATATACTCTTACTGGACCCTTTCACAGTATAAAGCAATTTATTTGCCATTTACGAGTCTACACAAACTGCCATTGCTTTTCCCAATGGAATCCTGGGATTTACAGTTTAGGGAGGGGTCTTTAGGAACCTCAACCAGGGAGCTCTCATGCATCTGATGACTCCAAATCTCACAACTTCTTATTAAGTAGTTACATCAATTAAAGTGAAATTGTAGTGCTGTATAGCCAACCCTCTATATCTGTAACTATGGCCAGAGTCAACCAACCAAGGCAAATAAAGTAAATAATTTCCAAAGGATACAAATAAAGATCCATATTTGGTGGAATAAAAACCGTAACAAACAAACTTTTGTTTTTGCCATTGCCAAACGCTACGTACCCTACTCTAGTCTCCTGTCATTTCACAGATACTTGGGCTTTATTCAACACTTGTTTGAATTGTTCCTCCTTTTATAAAAGGATTTATAATTTACTACGACACAGTGTATTATGGGGCATAAGCAGCCATAGATTTTGGTATCCATGAAGGGGGTCTTGGAACCAATGCCCCATGGATAATGGTAAAAGTAAATGTTTCCCCTTGATGTCAAGTCTAATTATGTCCGACTCTGAGGGGTGGTGATCATCTCCATTTCTAAACCAAAGACCCGATGTTGTCCGTAGATGCCTCCAAAGTCATGTTGCTGTCATGACTGCATGGAGCACCGTTACCTTCCTGCAGAAGTGGTACCTATTGATCTACTCACCTTTACATGTTTTCGAACTGCTATGCTGGCAGAAGCTGGGGCTAACAGCAGGAGCTCACTCCGCTCCCCGGATTCGAACTGCCGACCTTTCAGTCAGCAAGTTCAGCAGCTCAGCGGTTTAACCCACTATGCCACCGGGGGCTCCACCCCATGGATACTGAGGGTCTATTCTTATGTAGTATGAGAGGACTTCTGGTTTTAGACTCAGATACTATTCAGATGGGCCAGTAAATGTGCAGAGATCTGATATATGCAAGCATAATCCTCAAGGCCCTCTAGTGCTCTTCCATGTTTTCACCAGTCATTTAAAGAAAGCTGATGTGGCAAAGCCTCCCCCTCCCCCCAGCCCAGTTGGGCCTGTTCTTCCTGTAATCATGTCAAATGGAAAACAAGCTGATGACACTCTCCCCTTCCTTGTATCTCTGTGCCTAGATACGGCTCACTTTCTCAGGTTTTGTGAGTCAAGGAATCCAGTATTATGACACGTCATGGCTAAGCATATAAGGTCTGAAGCGGTATTGCCTCAGCCATAAATGTATTAGAAAGTATTCTCAGCTTTCCTCCATGTCTGGATGTTGGTAGGAACAAAACCAACCTGCCTTATTCAAAGGTTCAGGATTAATGAGAGAACTGCCAAGTACTTTGAGCATTTTGAAGCGCTACATAAACTCTAATGTTATTCTTGAAAGTACAGGAACTTTTCCAGGAAAAAAAGATAATTTCTTTACTTAGATCTATTTGGTGTCTTTTTATTCAGAGGTAAAGGTAAGGTTTCCACTGACATTAAGTCTAGTCGTGTATGACTCTTAGAATATCCATTTCTAAGCTGAAGAGCCGGCATTGTCCGTAGACACCTACAAGGTCATATGGTCAACATGACTGCATGGAGTGCTGCTACTTTCCCGCAGAAGCGATACCTATTGATCTACTCACATTTGCATGTTTTCGATCTGCTAGGTAGGCAGAAGCTGGGGCTAACAGTGGGAGTTCATCCTGCTCCCCGGATTCGACCAGCCAACCTTTTGGTCAGGAAGTTCAGCAGCACAGCGGTTTACTGCATATAGTCATGTATAAGTTGCCCTTATGTTTAAATCAACTTCATATATAAGTTGAAGGTGGGTTTTAGGGCCAAACATGAATTTGGATATAACTGTGTATGACATATGGATTTAGTTATAACCGCGTATGTTGAGGGTTATTGTACAGAGGGGTGGAAGCATTAATGCTGTCTCAGTGCCATCCACCACTGCCATTTCCCCAACCAGAAATTTTATAAGTCTAGAAATGGTGTCATAGTGGAGAGAATAGAGGGCTGGTGCTTCTTTTAGGTTCTCCCATGGTGGAATCAACCTTTCCCTTTTGCTAGTTTACTCAAAGAAGGAGAGTTTTGTTTTGTTTTGTTTTGTTTTGGTACAAGTTAAGGTATAGTGCTCACGTTGACTCATGGGATAAGCCAACTCAGGTTATTTGGGATGATTTTTTGACTAAACTTTTCTAGACTTACACATGAGTATATAGCAGGCACGGGCAAACTTCAGCCCTCCAGGTGTTTTGGACTTCAACTCCCACAATTCCTAACAGCCAGTAGGCTGTTAGGAATTGTGGGAGTTGAAGTCCAAAACACCTGGAGGGCTGAAGTTTGCCCATGCCTTGTATATAGGGTACGCTAAAACTGAGGGTGAGATACTTATGGTGTGATAATTTGCCAGTTTTTTTTTTACATCATAGTAAAATATTACTTTGCAAGAAGTGATCCTTTCTGCATACAACCCTTGCATTTTATTAGCTCTGGACCTTTTGCCAGAGCTGGTGTGTTTTCTGAAGTAAGACATCTTGAACTTCTAACCTACCTGCAAGAAAAGACCTCTGCGTGGGAAGCCCTTGAAATTAACCCTACAGAAGTAAGGTCTGGAAGTTGTTGAAAACATTTGGATGTCTTGACCGAGGGGAAGTAGCTGACAAGTTGTTTTTTTTGTGAGACTAAGCTCACTGCTCAACAATTGCTAGTATTGCATAAATGTTAACTAGGAACAGATAACAGAATAACACGTAATAGAAGAGATAGTGTACAGGAAAAGGCCAAAGGCTAGACCTTCAGTCTCGTGAGGATTGCGGACTCACCTGTATAATACTACTGCTTGGTTTCTCTAAGAGCTGTTGCTGATATTTATCTAGAAACATCAGTTTAAGAGTGAAAAGTGCATAGATAAGTGGAAATATTCAACCATTCTTGTTGTAAGTGTGGAATAATGTTGCCATCCAGGTGTTCATTTAAGTTAACCAAATGTCCCTTTTCCCTTTTCCACAGATCACATGATGCCGATCTTTTCTAGTATTAATGGGCAGTTTGATGCTCCAGCATGCGCCACATCGTGTTGTTAGAGCTACCACAGAGGCCTCGCAGGAACATGAAGGCCCCGAGGTAATGAAGTGAGTTCTACTTTAATAATGCATTGCATTGATTTTTTTTCACTGTATTAGTATTTTAGATTTATGTCTGTTATCTTGGGTTTCTTTTTCCAATTTGACATTCTTTGTCTCCATTTGAAAACTCAAGAGCAAACAAGGCATTACACATGGCTTTCCCCACCTTTTGAATAAATAGTTGTCAGTGTCCTCACTGTGTAGAAGAATAGAAGAATGCACAATTTGCGAACTGTATTCACTTACCTAGAAGACAGCTCACTTACCTGGGAGTAAGCCACACGGAATACAGTGGGATTCTTTTTCAGAGTGCACATATATAAGATTCGACTGCAAAGAAATAAAGTCCAATGTGAGGAAGTATGTGAACACTGTGGTGTGTTAACCATAGAAAAAACTGTTTATGAAACAATGCTTGGCATCCTGTTATGTATTTATCAGATTGTAAGCTGGACTTGTGATTTTGTAACTTTTGGGATTCAAGTTTTATGGATGTTAATGATCAAAATTGACCACAAAAGCCTACCTCTTAAGCCAAGCAGCATCCCAACTGAAGGGTTACTGAGATGCTAAAGATCAAGGGGCTGGGAAATGATGAGTGCAGCATTTTTCATGGAGCACATTGAGATAAGCAGGCATGACAGGAGTCCAAAGGATCTCTCCAGTTGCTGTTCCATTTCACCCTGTGACTGCAAGAAGAATACAGTTACCATTTTCCAGCATGCTGATGGACAGTGCTTCAGAAACCTGTCTATTGTGGTACTGCCTAGCTTTCTGCCCATACCTTGAGAAGCCAAACTTGGCCACAGTGGTGCATGCTCTTGTTACATCTCAAGTAGACTACTGTAGTGCACTTTACATGGGGTTGCCTTTGAAGAGTGTTCAGAAGCTTTCAGTAGTTCAACGGGCAGCAGCCTGGTTCCTCACTGGAACAGAATACAGGGAGCATACAACTCCCCTGCTGCATCAGCTCCACTGGCTGCCAGTCTGCTACCGAGCACAATTCAAAGTGCTGGCTTTAGCCTATGAAGCCCTAAACAGTTCTGGTCCAGCTTACCTGTTCGAATGTATCTCCCTTTATGAACCAGTTCGAGTGTTAAGATTGGCCGGGGAGGTCCTGCTCTCGGTCCCGTCCCCTTTGCAGGTTTGATTGGCAGGGATGAAAAACAGGGCCTTCTCGGTGGTGGCCCCTCAGCTGTGGAACTCCCTCCCCAGTGAGATTAGATCAGCCCCCTTCCTCCTGGTGTTCAGGAAGAAACTTAAAACTTGGTTGTGCACACAGGTGTTTGGTGAGTGATAATATTGCAATATAACACCAAAGTCTGAGGCACCTAAATTGGAATGGTGCAGTGTTGACAGTGGGAATGGTGCGATGTTAATATCTAAGTTTTATCAGATCAGATATTATGTATAGTATTTTAATGATTTAATTCATATTTAAATGTTATTGATTTTGGTTAATGTTATGTATTGCTTTTATACATAACATTATGTATATTGGTGGCATTGAATTTTGCTATGTTGTACACCCCTCTGAGTCCACCTCGGGGTGAGAGAGGGCAGTATAGAAATGCAGTAAAGAAATAATTAAGTTGCAAATGTGAAGTGGATTTTAACTGGCTGAAGATGTTATAATGAGAGAACTCTGTTATCTTAGCTCTGTATGAAATGGAGGCTCTCTGCCAATGGTCTGTCTATTTAAGAAATGAGACTATTGCATATTATGCATATTCTGTAAGTTGTCTAGTAAAATCCCTCACTGGATAACCTAGGGTTACTCAGTATAGTAGGTCTGTGTATATTATATGAGGGACCCATTCCAGGACCCTTCACATAGTACTATTTTCTGGAACCCTGTTTTTCTTACCTAAAATGAACAATGTCTTGGGTTTCTGGCTGAAGTGTACCATTGAATTGCTCTGGAGGACCTAGAAAAATGGATTTTGTCATGCTCCTATGGCCAATTTCCAGTGGAACTTCTAGATTTATGTATTCAGTGAAAGAGAAATTAATTTATTGAAGTTTGTAATGCTCTGAAAATTTAAGAGACTGGTCCAGTTCATTACTACCCACTACTCTTCTGCTGAACATGCCATTCTGCACAGTTCTTCTGTCATCTGTGCTCTTCATCTATTGTTGCACGCATACACACACACACACAGCGAGAGGATGCAGTTACTCTGAAAGTATTTATCCCATGCTAATTAATGCAGCTGTGAATTTTGAAAAGGATTGGCAATGCAAGTCATATTGCTTCTGCCACCCACATTCCATTTAATTTATTCTTGGACTCCAAATATTTTCATTCAAATCCTCACTTTAATTTGCATTGGGAATTAGTCACTTAGGATGCATATTTAGATCACTTAATATGGATTATTATTCTTTTTACAAACTCTTAACCGTTATATACTTACAGTCACTCTAACAGAAGATTGGATATCTCAGAACAGGATCTTTAATCCTTATCAGTGGTTGTAAGTATGGAACCTATGGCTAGTAATCGTCCTATGTTGATTAACAAGGAACATACATAAACAGTCTTATAGGGTATCAATCTCTTTTATGCTATAGTGCATATTTCTTCACAAATGTGCTAACTTTGCTATGACAGTTTCTATGAAGAATAATTGTTTCTAGTAATACTGGTTTTGTTTAGTCCAGGTAATGTAAATGTGTATAGATAAGTTATTTGGCAGGGATGAGGGACAGGGCCTTCTCAGTGGTGGCCCCCTGCCTGTGGAACTTGCTGTCCAGCAAAATCAAGTCAACTACATCCCTCCTCTCCTTCAGAAATAAATTGAAAACGTAGTTGTAGGACCAGGCTTTTGGGTAGCACACTGATAATGACAATTTCTATGATAATGTTATGGAAAATGGACTATGGAAGGGATCTGATTGTGTTGTTCGTTGCAAAATTCAATTCTAGATAAGGCTAGATACCCAGTATTATTTTAAATGGATTTAATTTTAAACTAATTTAATTTATCACTTATATTGAATTGTTGCTGGCTGTAAGCCGCCCTGAGTCCCCCTGTGGGGGTTGAGAAGGGTGGGGTATAAATGTTTGAAATAAATAAAATAAATAAAGGAGAAGGGACTAAAACACTGAAAAACTAGTTTTACAATGCAGCTAATTTTGAACACATCAGATATCACTCATTCCAAAATGTAATATTTGCAATTAATGTAGTAATGAGTAAAGGGCCAGCTGTGAGTTAATCCACTAGAAAGTTCACTAACAGAGATCTTGTTTAAATGAATGGGACTCATGCAAGAGCTTGCAAGTTGTTGTCAAGGCTTTCATGGCCGGAATCACTGGGTTGTTGTGAGTTTTCCGGGCTGTATGTCCATTTCGAGAAGCGTTCTCTCCTGACGCTTCGCCCACATCTATGGTAGGCATCTTCAGACATGAAACAATCAAGGCCAGCAAACACCTCCCAAGAAAGAATTCCCCCAGGCAACAACCAGCCAGGCTTTGAAACTGCAAGGCCATTAAATGCTGATGAAGATAGCCAATTGCAACATTCACACTTGCCTCAAACAGAGAAGAGTTCTTTCTTCCACCCTGGGCATTCCAGATATATAAACCTCACTTGCCAAGTTTCCAACAGCCCCCCCAACCTCTGAGGATGCCTGCCATAGATGTGGGCAAAACATCAGGAGAGAATGCTTCTGGAGAGAATACGGCCTGGAAAACTCACAGCAACCCATCTTGCAACTTGTTCCTACTTTGATGAGGCTTAAGCATGTTTAGCATGTTTAGCCTGAAGAAGAGAAGGCTGAGAGGGGATATGATAGCCATGTATAAATATGTGAGAGGAAGCCACAGGGAGGAGGGAGCAAGCTTGTTTTCTGCTTCCCTGGAGACTAGGATGCGGAACAATGGCTTCAAACTACAAGAGAGGAGATTCCATCTGAACATGAGGAAGAACTTCCTGACTGTGAGAGTCGTTCAGCAGTGGAACTCTCTGCCCCGGAGTGTGGTGGAGGCTCCTTCTTTGGAGGCTTTTAAGCAGAGGCTGGATGCTTCTTGGCAGGGGGTTGGACTGGATGGCCCATGAGGTCTCTTCCAACTCTTTGATTCTATGATTCTATGATTCTATGACGGTTTGAGTGAACTGAGTCCTCTGCCATTTGCTTATGAAAAGTCTGATATGCAAGAGAGACAATGAAAAAAGAAGCACAACCAGGTGAAGTTGAGTGTTTTCCCTCTCCTCCTTTATGCCTTAGCCTCAAGTAATGGCCAAGGAGTCATTACATAAAGGACACACTACATGCCACCTAGACTATCGTGAATTCTTCTAAAAGTTGTCTCAGTTGGTTATCTTCTCTTATTCCGGTACGGTTGTTCATTTTTTAAAAAAAAATGTATTCAGATTTTCTGTATCTAAGTGTGTCAGTTCAGTTAAAGTTGGAAGAATGTCAATTGCAATTTTGCTACAACTGTATTTGGCATCTTTCTGTTGATAGTCTTGGGCTGGAAGCTAAAGTTTAGCAACTGAACATTCAGTAGCATTATAGAAAACCAGGCATTTTTCAACAGCAAAAGAATGCTCAAAAGCTTGTGGGTTAATGTCTATATTTTAAATTTTCTTTCCTGCTTCGAGTTTGCCTTTCATATGTGTCCAAATAGAATAATTAGCTGGATTTGTCTTTTAAATTGATGTATTCATGCTGGATGTATTTTATTTTCTTTGAATTTGGCAGGCCGCTCTGTGAGGTTGGAAAGAAATTGTTGTACCAAGTCATCCATCTGGATGTGGGAGCTTTGAAGGGGGAGAAAGAATATTCAGAATTGGTAAACGGATTTGCATGGGGTTCAGAACTGAGCCAACTTCTGAAATAATATCCCCGAACTTGAATAGATGGCTCTCCAGCAGCATCTACAAGCTTTTAATATCTCCCCAGTAGAGGAGAGGAGATTGTGTCTAAATGGAACACCCTGGATTTGGCATCTCCTTGAAGAATGTGTCGGGAACGCGTGGGAGTATTGGAGCGTTGTCATAGGGCTGATCTCCATTGTCTGCTTTCTCTTTGCTGCTCTACCGTGAGTTTAAAATCTTTAAGTATTTTTCAGATGCATACACGAGTAATCTTGCCTGAAGCTTTTTTCAGAAGCTGCCTTTTTTGGGGTTTATTCTTTGATGCGTTTCTGTCCCCATCTGCATAAAATAAATAGGATATGCCAGAGCAGCATGTTTCTCCTGTTTAAAGGAACATTTGATGGTTGACAAATTAGCTTGCTATACTCTACTGTTGTGGTGACTTGACACTAATCTATGCTATTTGGAGCACATAAGAACACATCAGCCCTTCTGCTTTGATCTTTCCATCATGAAATATAGGGGACTATGCGTGTAGCGTTCACACATTTAGCAGGGGAGGAGAAGCCATCGTAACGCTGTATTCGGCACCATTTTTGGGAGATTCAAGTGACAAGCCACAACACCTCTGGTGACGTGGCATGGGGAATGGACTCATAGTGCATAGGAGCACATTGCCTGTGTCACGTTTGGAAAACCATTGATTAATTTTAGCTTATTGACATTTTTATTGTACAGAAGGCAAAAAAGTATCCAACTTGTTGAATCACAACAGAGCTGTAAATAATCAGTATCTAGCCTTTGCTAAAACAGAAAAATCATATTGGCACAAACCGCATTGTCTTGGAACAGGGTATAAGGGTTACATATATAACCCATATAATGGACTGGGCCAGTGTGATCTAGAGCACTGTTTCTCAACCTTCCTAATGCCATGACCCCTCGATACAGTTCCTCATGTTGTGGTGACCCCTAACCATAAAATTATTTTTGTAATTTTACTGCTGTTATGAATTGTAATGCAAATATCTGATATACAGAGGATGTGTTTTCATTCACTGGACCAAATTTGGCACAAATACCCAATATACCCAAATTTGAATTCTGGTGGGGTTGGAGGAGGGATTGATTTTGTCATTTGGAAGTTGTAGTTGCTGGGGTTTATAGTTAACCTACAATCAAAGAGCATTCTGAACCTCAGCAATGATAGAATTGGGCCAAACTTCCCACACAGAACCCTCATGCCTCGAAGGGACTCACTGGTGCGAGCCTCCCTCCAGCCTCACAAGCTCTTCCTCGCCTGCATATGCACGCCATGTTGCCATGAGCCAAGCACACCTGCTCTCCCTTCCATGCTTGGAGTCTCGAAAACAACCCTCCCCTTGGCTGAGGAGCCAGCTGAGAGGCCAGCCAATCACAGCGGAGGGCTTTTGGTGGGAGGATTCATCGTCTGTTTCCAAAAAAACAAAGAGAAGGACAGGTGGAGAGATCTTCAGCCTTCTGTGCTAAAGGCGTTCCTAAGACCAGCAGAAATCTATCTTTTCTGGTGGTCTTTGGCGACCCCTCTGAAACCCCCTCGCAACCCCCCCAGGGGTCCCAATCCCCGGGTTGAGAAACGCTGATCTAGAGCAATGCTACTCAAAGTAGTAATTCATTGATAGGTGCTGGTTTCTAGGACATTTCCAGGAAAGAGATGGTTGTAGTCAATAAGCGCAAATAGAATGCCTGTCTCTCCCCCCCCCCCCCCCCCCCCCCAGATTGGACTAGAGTAGTGGTTCCCAACCTTTGGTCCTCCAGGTATTTTGGACTTAAGCGACCACAATTCCTAACAGCTGGTGAGCTAGTTAGGATTTCTGGGAGTTGGAATCCAAAACACCTGGAGGACCAAAGGTTGGGAACCACTGGACTAGAGTATTTAGGACGCCTATGTTCATTGGATTTTTCCTCTCCTCAGTCATGAATTCAGAAACTGCTTGTATCTTAACCTCCATTTTTCACTTGTAGAGCAAGAATATTAAGAGTCACCTCTACATATTTATTGTGAAGATAAATTAGAAAAGGTTTCAAAAGCATTTTTCTCACTGTTATGTATTGTGAAAACAATTGCAGTAAGTAATGGTGAGATATAGAAGAGGAGAAGAATTGGCTTATATGATGAAAAACAGACTCTAAAAATACATTTTCCAAGTCTTCCATCCTATGCATGTTTACACAGGATTAAGTTTCACTGGAATTAATGAATAAGCTTGTATAGGATTGTACAGTAATGTACGTAATTTTTCAGCACATTGTCCTCATATTTATATGTTTGTTGTTGTTTGACTTTTGCATCTCTAGTCAATTGTACGTGGCCTATCAGAATGGAAAAGTGGACCAAGCGCTGTCATTGGGGTTTCTTCTGTGCTGGATTGCTGGAGACCTCACCAGTTTTATTGGGTGTTACTTGACAAATCAACTGCCAATACAGGTAACTGGTTTGCATTAAAGCTTTTGACTTGGTATAGACCTGAGATAATATTCAAGTTACCGGTGGCACAGTGAGTTAAACTGCTGACCTGCTGAAATTGTTGACCAAAAGGTCGCAGGTTCGAATCTGAGGAGCGGAATGAGCTCCTGCTGTTAGCCCAGCTTCTGCCAACCTAGCAGTTCAGAAACTTGCAAATGTGATTAGATCAATAGGTACTGCTCTGGCAGGAAGGTAACAGCGCTCCATGCAGTCATGCTGGCCACATGACCTTGGAGGTGTCTACGGACAACGCCAGCTCTCAGGCTTAGAAATAGAGATGAGCACCAACCCCCCTGAGTCGGACACGACTGGACTTAATGTCAGAGAAACCTTTAACATTCACATTTGTTTTTATTTTTCATAGTAACTCAAGGACAATACATTAAGTTATGAAAAGTAATTTTCCTTCCATTTTATAAATGTTTGTTTGTGTCCTATCTGTGCTATTTCTGCCTCTTGCACCACATTTTTCTCTTTCTCCATCTGTGCTGTTCCTCAGCATACAAAGTTTGCACTCCTGAGCATTTCACACACATTGAAGGAATCCCTGATAAAGTTAAGCAAAAGAGCCCCTGGTGGCGCAATGGGTTAAACTCTTGTGCCAGCAGGACTGCTGACCAAAAGATTGGCGATTTGAATCAAGGGAGCATAGTGAGCTTCTCTCTGCCAGCTCCAGCTTCTCATGCGGAGACATGATAGAAGCCTCCCGCAGGGTGGTGAAACATCCAGGCAACATCCTTGCAGACAGCCAATTCTCTCACTCCAGAAGTGACTTGCAGTTTCTCAAGTCGCTCCTGACATGGAAAAAAACAGTGTGGTTGGCTGGTTGCAATATAATAGGAAACTTCATAGCGATTGTATTGCGTGCTTTTGACTTATTAACAGGGAGGAAGAAACAATATGAACCATTCTCTGATTCCCTCACTCACATTTGGTAGGCTTTAAAGAGCGCTTCACATAAATGGTCCCAGGGCTGCATATAGTCTAAGAGGGCTTTGTGGGAGTGGGGGCTAATCTGTGCAGACATTTTATCAGAAAATCCAGGTTGGTATATACGTATGCATGCTTTAAAAAAATTGCAGAAAACTTGTAATTCAGCAGAACTAAAGTTCAATGAGATTCATGAACACTCTTAATATGAAGCAAGGATGGCTGACTGATATCCACAAATATTCACATTTGTTAAGGTCATCTGCAGGAATCCTACTCAAGCTTCCCGTTATAAGAGATGACTAAACAATGAGGTGTTGGAGCAGGAGCTTGAAGCTTGCAAATGCCCTGCCGGTTGAGATCTATAAATTATGCATTGGTCTTGTCATCTTTTTCAGATCATCACTGCCATTTTTTACATTTACATGGACATAATTATGATATCCCAGTTTGCCTATTATAAGCTAAAGAATCAGAAGGTGACAAAATGTGAGTCTTTTGAATGAAGACGCTTTGCAATTTTCTGCTTCTCTAATGTATTATTTTCTTTCTTTCTTTAAACTGCTTAAACTGTATGCGTTTTACATAGTATGTTGAACAGTGTAATAGCTTCAACTTGAAGTGTTCTTGTGGTTTTGGTGTCAAATCTATCCCTTTGTATTTTAAAAAAGAGAATACTCTGATGATTGCTGAGAGTCACACACTCTTCTGTTGATATTGAACATGAGAGGGAGGAAAAGAGGGGGACTAATTGGTTGAAGAGTAAAAGTAAAAAGAACACCAATAATGGCTGAATAGTAAAGAAAGCACTGAAATTGCTGCAGAAAAGGATTACCTAGGAGTAAGCCCTGTTGAACTCAAGGGAGGGTATTTTGGGAGGGGCATAGAGACCCCTGTTAGTTAATTAAGCAATCCCTTGTAGCCCAAGGATGATGGTCCTCCAAGTGTAGTGTCTTGGTGGTGAGTTCATAAGTGGCTGTGGAGACCTATTCTTGATCTGCATGTTCTTCCACAGTGAGGACATCGGTTTCCAGTTGGAAGTCAAGGTTGGCTTGAAATGCCTTCCTCTTGGCATGTTTCTCCCTTTCACCCTCCATTCATACCTCTTCGAATTCTGCAGCACTGCCAGTCACAGCTGACCTCCAGTTAGAGCCCTCAAGGGCCAGGGCTTCCCAGTTCTCAGTGTCTATGCCACAGTTTTTAAGGTTGGCTTTGAGCCCATCTTTAAATCTCTTTTCCTGCCCACCAACATTCCATTTTCCGTTCTTGAGTTCAGAGTAGAGCAACTGCTTTGGGAGACGGTGATTGGGCATTTAGACAACGTAGCCAATCCAGTAGAGTTGATTGCATAGGAGCATTGCTTCAATGCTGGTGGTCTTTGCTCCTTCCAGCATGCTGTTCACCTGTCTTCCCAAGCAATTTGCAGGATTTTTCGGAGCAGTGCTGATGGACTTATTCCAGGAGTTGAGTATGACATCTGTAGACAGTCCACGTTTTGCAGGCATATAGCAGGGTTGGGAGGGTATAGTAGGGTTATAAACCTTGGTATCTCTACAGATCCCGATCCTCAGACACTCTCTGCTTCATTCGCCTATAGTGGGTGGATGACCACTATACAGTCATCCACTCATCTGGGTTCCTTAATTATACAATAACATGAAGTCACCTTTCAGGGATCCTGTAGGAAGAAGCAAAATAGCTCCGTTGTATGATTTTGCTGCTATAAGGCCCTGATGGCAATCTCTTGTCTACATGGCATCCATTCCCAACCCAAGAAGTGAGATTTGAGGAGGAACCAATCAGCAATTTGAGTGCCCCAGAGGATTAAAAAAGGAAGAAAACATTACCTCACTACCTCTGAGGATGCTTGCCATAGATGCAGGCGAAACGTCAGGAGAAAATGCCTTTAGAACATGGCCATATAGCCCGAAAAAACCTACAACAACCCAGTCATTCCGGCCATGAAAGCCTTTGACAATACGAAGAGAACATTGCATGAATGGAGCAGTAGTTTGGATCCTGGTCTGGCATAGAACTATACATGTATGCCTTTGTTTTGTGTTTAGACTAGTCATGTTAAACTCTGTTAAAAGCAACAGTGAAAATAACATGTTTTTATTCCTCTTCCAAGGTGGTACAAACTTGAAGAATGGCTGTATAGCTTGGATCTTGCTGTGCATAGTACTGTGTATGATTTTACCTAGTCAACTGCTGCTACGAAACCAGGTCCTGAACACTATTTTAAGAAAAAGTGAGGTATAACCTAATTTTATATTATACAGAAGACTTTGTTTTACATAGTTATTTATGCACTGAATAATTGGGTGATTTCTTGTCATTATGATTCTAACATAATAACTTCCAGCCTTTGGTCCTCCAGTTATTTTGGACTTCAATTCCCAGAAATCCCAGCCAGTTTACCAGCTGTTAGGAATTGTGGTAGCTGAAGGCCAAAATACCTGGAGGACTCGTAAGAGGCATTATGATGTAGTACATTGTAGAAATATCATAATACTGCCTAGTACATGTAGTTTAAGTTTTTAGTTTTAAAGATACAGTCATTCATTTGTTCAAAAAAGTATTTTGTGTTCACTGCTTTAATTAATTGAGCAGACTGCAAGCTTTAAATTGCCTAAAATGTTCTTAATTTCCAGAGATCCCGTGGTATCATAGAGATGTCAGGCTTCATTTGTGGCTATGTGTCATGCGTGTTTTATTTAGGATCGAGAATTCCTCAGCTGTATAAAAATGTAAGTATATTGTTTATTTTCACAACATTCATGGTTGTAACTGGATGGTTGGAGCCCCCGGTGGCACAGTGGATTAAAAACCCCTGTGCCGGCAAGACTGAAGACTGACAGGTTGTAGGTTCGAATCTGGGAAGAGCATGGATGAGCTCCCTCTAACAGCTCCAGCTCCTCATGCGGGGACATGAGAGAAGCCTCCCACAAGGATGATAAAACATCAAAACATCTGGGCATCCCCTGGGCAACGTCCTTGCAGACAGCCAATTCTCTCACACCAGAAGTGACTTGCAGTTTCTCAAGTCATTTCTGATACAACAACAACAACAGCAACAAAAAAACTGGATGGTTAACTGCTAACTCATTCATAATATGCTGTCTCTATAAGCTGTACACAGAAAGATCTCCACTACTTCATTGCAAGGATGAAATGTGTTTTCACTTGTACTTTGGATAAATGCCAGAAATCCTTCAGAGAGCATCTTTTCATACTTTTTGGGGTGCCAGTTCAAATTATTTTGGGGGGGGATGCATGGATAGATCTTTGAAACCATGGTCTTCACATCTTTCAATCTTGAATATAGCAACCACTTTTTAGTGATCAAAATTCTGGTTATTGACATTCCTTGTCTACTGTTCTAATTTCAGAGTATTCCATGTCCAAAATTGTGGGAGGCTTTTTCATTGATAGTAGATTATTTTTATGTTTAATTCCCCATGTTCAAAACTATTTCTGATTTCTCTTCCTTCTGTGAATTGGGAAGAGAACTCATAATTGGAAGTAAAATACTTGTTTACCAAACAGAGCAGTTTATAATTCACATTGAAACAAAAACTAATAAGGACATCTGTCACTAAATAAGTTTTATTTATTAAAAAATAAAATGATTTATTTATCCAACAGAAATACCTTATATAGTCCAGACTTGATTAAATGTTGCATGTTTTTTCTGGGCTGAGTCACTGAGCCTAGCTTGGAAATGAAGATTAAAGTCTCATGGTGTGCATTTAAGATCAGACCAAGAGAAACTCATGAATAAATTTCAACAAATTGACCCTGCAACAAAATATTGCACTGTGGAGTTTTGTTTATGGTTCAAACTACTCTGTAACTCCCTGCTTTCCGGTTTCCCCCTCCGTTCAATAATAATCTATCATTGAACCAATGATCAAGTCCAGTCCTTTTGGGCTACTTTTCTGGTTGAACATTATCTCCATTTTGCAGTTGTTAAATTGGATTGAATGCACTGATGCAAGGCCCAGTTCCATTAAAATCCTCAGTTAGTCTCTTTATTTCATTGGGCTGCATTCTGTTGTATCCCATAAAACATTTTACATAATTTTGCAGTGTGAATCAGAAAGTAACCTATCCAGATAACAAAAAATATCTTGCCTCCCTTGGTTATATTGTTGTGGTCACTGTACTGTATTCCCCAGTGATTTTTTTTAACTTATGGTGACCCTAAGGCAAACATACAATGGGCATTCTTGGGGAAAAATTCAGAGAGTGTTTGCCTTTGACTTCTCTGAGCAGAGGAAGTGTGAAGATCGGTGGATTTCCATGGCTGAGTAGAGACTTGAACCCTAATCTCCAGAGTCAAAATCCAACACTCAAACGACTACACCATGCTGAATAGTCCCCTTACCAAGCTTGTTCCCTCCAAATATGTTGGTTATGTATTTATGAAAGCTGTAGCTGCAGGCCTGCAGTTCAAAAAAACTCCTATTATACAATGTCCTATAAATAAAATGGTGACAGCATGAATGCAGACACACTGAAGTATCCACATGGATGCTGCTGCCATTTAATAATATGAGATGGTTTTTTTAAGCATCATGGGGATGACCTGAAACCAAACCCTTGCAGATCCATAGGGCCACCATACGGTCTGTCTCCCTTTCCAAATGAATAGGCCACTTACTGCCACTCCAATCCAACTGTCAGGTTCCCTGCCTCTTCAAACAGCATCCTATATTGAAGTTGTTGGTAGAATTCTTTTTCTTTGCCTTGATTTGCTTCCTTGTATATATTTGCAACCCTCAGGATTACTCCATTATGCTGACATCTCTCTTCCATAGGGATAGTGTGATTGTGGCTCCAGCCCTTCAAGCAAGAGAAGATTTGAACTGATATTAGAAAACATGAATAGGCTGCTAAATTATTTTAGGATTGGTTCATTTCTGTCGATTTAAGGGATGGCTATATAGTCCAATAGGGAAAAATCATGCTCCAGACAGCATAAGAACTGCTGCATATTTGTGCAAGACAGTTTTGAGATAGATGGACCAGCAGTCTATAAAGTGGCTTCCCGAGTCCCTATTAAGAGATGAACACAGGGAAAACAGGCTCAGGGGTCTGCAGTGGTCATAATGCCCACTGCAGCATTTCAAATATTAATTTCTGATGATATGTTTTGGAGAAAATTGACTTATGATGTACTCCTGCATTTACTTGTTGTCCTCTAGTTCCAAAGAAGATCGACAGAAGGCACGTCTTATCTGTTGTTTGCCTTAGCCATGATGGGGAACTGTACCTACGGTCTAAGTCTTATCTTAAAAATGCCTGCAAGAAAATATCTCATTGGTTTATACTTCTGGCATCATCTCCCTTGGCTCATTGGAAGTTTTGGAGTTTTGGTTCTAGATATTTTTGTATCCTTTCCTAATGAAAAGTGGTATCTTCACAGAAAAGGTTTCTCCCCCCCCCCCCCCACAAATTATGCAAATTGCAAAGGAACATGGTAACTTTAATTTCAAAAGGTCTCAGCAATGTATTTATAATGAGGAAACATGAATTCATACTTTCTAAAACTATTATAATCAAATATTTGCTTAGAAGGCAAATAACACTTGGTAAGGGGAACAGGGAGAATATATGTGTTCTTGTTAAATTGAGAGCAAGTCTTTGTCATATGATATATGTCTTTGGAAATATGGGGTCCAAAAATGGTCCTGTGGTTCACTGGTCTTGGGACACTAGGTTTGAAAAAATCTATCAGATGAAAGTATACTGAGTGTTGTTGTAGTGACTTATTATGGGTTCACACATAATGCTATTTTATAGGTTAAAATGAACATGAATGTGATACCTTGCACTTTAGGTAGACAACACCCTGAAGGACTTGTCTTGATCTTGATCATTCTCAGAAATATTTTGCTGCGTTGGCCCTAAGAATCAGATTGATGCCAGGGGAAAATGATTAACTTCACACACTTTCATTGGAAAGTAAGTCCTGGAGGACATAGTAAGGATTACTTCTGATTAAATCTTCATAGATTGAGAGTGTCCATAATTAGGCAGCCCTCCAGATGATGTTGAACTTCAACTCACAGTATTCTTCATCATTGGCTGTTAGGCTGCTACTGTACAACAACTGGAAGTTCAACAACATTGGGAGTGCTACACGATTTCTACCCCTGCTTGTTTAATGAGAGATAATCTCCACTGTTACTTACTTCCATGTAACTATATACAAGATATTTATTTATTTATTTATTTATTTAGGGTATTTTTACCCCGCCCTTCTCAACCCCCTAGTGGGGACTCAGGGCGGCTTCCAGCTGGCACATATTCGATGCCTACAATTAAACACAACAAACAGTAATTATAAATAATTAAAACATTGAGTTAATACAATAAAATCTACTAGAAAAGAAGTCAGCCTGGTGGCCAACGTTTCACTGAGTTCTGTGATTAGTGATTCCATTCAGCTTATCACAATCCGTTTCCAAAGCTCTTATCGTCATTGTCCTTGTCAGTCTGCCAGATTTACCCAAAGGTCTGGTCCCATATCCATGTTTTTAATTTCCTTCTAAAAGAGAAGAGGGATGACGATGATCTAATTTCCCCAGGGAGTGAATTCCATAGGCGGGGGCCACCACCGAGAAGGCCCTGTCCCTCGTCCCCACCGGTTTCATTTGTGACAAGGGCGAGGCCGAGAACAGGGCCTCTCCAGAAAATCTTAAATTCCTAGGTGGGACGTAGAAGGAGATACGTCCGGACAGGTACGCAGGGCTGGAGCCGTATAGGGTTTCTTTCTTCTTCTTCTTTTTTTTAGATATACACAACTATTCTCTTGTACAGGGCGTTCCACAAAGATAGATCAAACTTGAAATAACTATATCTCTCCAACCATATACTGCTCATGAACAAAACTCTTACCATTTGGAAGGATACGACATAGAGTTTCAAATGATTAATATAGGTGCCTCTCCCAATCCCTTTGGAAGCAAAATACAGTATAGTGTGTCTTACCATATCATAAACATTTGCTGTTTTAAATTGATAAAAAACTTAAGAAAATTATTATTTTAAAATCATAAGTCTAAAATCATTTACAGCAAGAATATCTTTTAAATTTATAATGTACCTATTAGCATTTTCCCATTCCTTTTAGTTCAGCTCTCCTTTTCTGAATGCTGTGTCATAGCCACAAGTATTTCCTCTTCCCTTCTACTTTTGCGAAACAATAGCCCATCTCTAAAATCATAATCTAAATGAGATTTTAAGTGGTGTGGGAATCACTTCTCCAGGTAGGACTCTCCCTCAACTAGTTAGTTGACTGTACAATTGTAGAAGCTAGCTGAAACCATTCTGAAAATCATAATATGTGAACAACTAAAATATTTCATTGTCTCTCACTTTTAATTAATGCTAACATTGCCCACTAGGCATTTATTTCAATCTAATGAAATCTAAACTGGATAGTAATTTTGCTTTTCCATACTCTGCAAAATACAGCATGACTTGCAAAGAGATATAGCAAGGATACTTTAAATGTAGATGAAGAATGTTGTTGACGATTGCTCCGTTATTCCTAGGATTTTAATATGTATTCGTAACAACCCAATCCATAACTCAAGTCAGTCGCATTATTTAATTTCAATGTGCTACATTTATTTTAATTTAAGTAGTTTGGCTTCACTGAGATACATCACAAGCTTCACGTGATTTTTTTTAAATTCAATAACTCCAAATCATAATTTTAAGAAAGTAGTTTACAGCCTGGGTTTTAATTTTTGGTGCAGTTAAAATTGGTTTGATACAGAGCTGCAGCAGATAAAGCAATATCATGCTGGTTGCCATCATCCTTGAAAATGAAATCAGTTTTTTGGTTTCATGAAAAGTGGGCAAAGTATTTTAATGTTCCCCCAGTATATGTTTGGAAAGATTGTATCTCCATACATCTTCAAAGGCCTTATGGTAAATGTAACATGTTGTTTGTGAACATATGTATTTGTGAATTGGTAAAACCAAAGGAGTTTATAATAACTGATAATCCATATGGATTTTCTTTTTAAAAAAAATCTTATATGAACAGAAATGAAATCTAGTACTAACTTGACATCGTCCATGGCTAAATGTAATTCCACACTATGGTACAAACACCTTATTGTCTCTTGCTTTGGTAATCTGTCGTTTTGTCCATTGGCAGCCCTCTGTGATACATGGCTTCTAGCCATAATTTGAACAAAAAAGCATTTTATTTCTGCAAAGGCTAAACAATATCCTGATCCCATGGCTTCTGCCATTTGAGAGGATTTTGCTTTCTCTCTCTCTCTCTCTCTTACAAAACACGCAAACCTGTATTTGACCCCAATGATCTTGGCACCGTGTTTCTTGCTCTGTTGCTAATACTATTCCACAACAACACAGATCTTAAAAGAAATGCGGAGACCTCTGGCTGCAAATCATGCATTACAAAGGAGGAATTGTCACACACTTCTCTCTAGTGTAATCTGCTCAGAAATTGAACTGTATCTTAGTAGTATGTCTCAGCTGAATTTATATTGAAAACCACATGGTCATACAGCCCAAAAAACTCACAGCAACCAAGAAAACCACACAGTTGCATATTGGCCAAATCATTCTTCAGATGTGTGTTATCTTTAGACTCAAGAATTCCTTCTTATATAAAAAGTTGATATGATGAGTAGTCTAGCAGATTGAATCCCCAACTCACAATGGTAAATTGTAAAAGGCTCAAGGCAGGTTGGAATCATGTGGCTTTTCAGATGTGGTTGAAATGCAAGTCCCAGCAGCCATTGCTGGTGTAGCCAATGGCAAGGAATGGTAGGAGCTACAACACAGCAACATCGAGACCACATGGTTTAATGTAATGCAATTTGCTTAACACTTGAATTAGCTATGTTATTTATTATTTATTTTATATATTTACCAAATTTATATATCGCCCTTCTCAGCCCAGAGGCAACTCAGGGCAGTTTACAAACGGCAAAATTCAATGCCCCCAATAACATAAAATATAATTAAAACATTAACATATAATATAAATCATAATAAAACAATAAAGGCAATAAAAACAATAAAACACAATTCCTCAAGGTCTCATTACTAAAATCATTTTCCAGTCGCGTTGTCTAATCATTCCATGGATCTAAATAATAATAATAATAAATAAATAAACCTTTATTTATACCCCGCTAACATCTCCCGAAGGACTCAGTGCGGCTTACAAGAGGCCAAGGCCCAACACATCAAAAAACAACAGCATAACAAATACAACAATAAATAAACTCATAAAACAGGCAATAAACATTAAAACAATAGCAATTAACATTAGACAATAACACCATGACACATTTAAAACTAAGGCTGGGCCAATGTAATAATTAAAAATTTTAAAATGCTGGGCATGACAGGTGAAATTGATAGGTGACAGGTGAATTTTTGGAGATAGGTGCGGTGTGCAAATGGCCTATTGCATTGCATCTGCAAATGCTTGCTCAAAAAGCCAGATTTTGACTCCTTTTCAAAATGTTAGGGAGGAGGCCAATCTAATATCTCTAGGGAGGGCATTCCATAGTCGAGGGGCCACTGCTGAGAAGGCCCTGTCCCTCGTTCTCACCAGTCGCATCTGTGAAGGAGGCGGGACCGAGAGCAGGGCCTCTCCAGGTGATTTTCTCCCATTGGTCAGATTGATCTTTTAAACATGTTCTTTTGCTTTCTACAAGAGTCAATAAGTATCTGTGATGCTGGAGGGCTGCGGCCGGGATTGTGAAGGGGCAGTTCTGTTGCTTTCCCTGAGCCCAGAAGAGGGAGACAAACACACCACAGCAAAGCATTGGTGGCATGTTATTCTCCCCGGCTCTTCTTTGAGCCCTGGGAAGGCAGCGGCCCGTCTTTCTCTGGCCCAGAGGAGAGAAACATGCTGCTGTCAAACACAATAGGCAGCAGTGTGTTTCCATGGCCCCAGGAAGGTAATGACCTGTCTTCCTTGGGCCCAGAAGAGGGAGACAAACATGTTGCTGTCAAGCAGCAGCCCACATTCCTCCCAGAGGTTTACTCATGAATTTTAATTGGTTAACCAAATTCACATGCTAAGTCTATATGATGCAAAAAATCAAGAGTCCCTCCAGAACTGCAAGCACTATCTCAGGCAAATATTGACAATTTATTCACACTGTCATTACTTGCAGCAATAGCTGATGTAGTGAAGCAACCAAGTTGGGTGTGTGTGTTGAATGCTCTCATTAAGGAGGCCAGACTTGGTGGAGGTGGTTGACAGGGGCGGAGCTGCAGGCTATTGAATTCTGCTCTGCCCCCTGCTGTGCTCTTTGCTTCAGCGTGAGCTAGGAGGCAGGTTTCAACCCCCACACACACACAAAATTTTCAACCCCCCCCCCCGAAAATTTCAACCCCTCCCAAATTTTTTTTCTGGCTACGGCCCTGCTTACAGCCAACATATTTCAATCAAATCAGCAAAAGTCAAACACACCATGTGAAAGGCTAACTGTTTTTAGGGGGCACTGAGGTAACCAACAATCTTAACTTTGTGTTTTTTAGGGTCACAGCATTTTTTTCTCTTAACAAAGCAATACTGCACTGCAATCTTCTTCCTTCTAGGATTGTAAAATAGCTCTTCTTTTTAATAAAAAGATGTTTATTGTAATATTATCCCTTCACTCTTTTGTCCAAACTAATGTTAATATATTCAGAAGACAGGTGGTAGTGTCTTTAGGCTAGAAATATCAAAAGGACATGGAGCAAATATTTCCCAAAGGTATTTTAATTCATAACTTCAGAATAGAAATGACACACATAATTACTGGTGAAGGATTTTAAATTTCAGAGCTGCCACTTATGACTTTATGCCATTATCTTAGGTAAAAGAGTTGTTGTAGTATTAAAGGTTAAAATTGCTAGACCAAGTTGCTAAATAGCATGCTAAGTTTAATTAGTTGGAAATGATGAACATCAAATGTTTTGCAGTACGGGAACTGTATGCTTGCTCTTTTTCAAATACCACTTTCAGTTTTGTAGTGGAACTCTCTCCTGAAATAATTTCCAGTTTATCTTGGCAGAGAAAACAAATTATATTTAGATTTGATAGTATATAACTCCTTCTTCAATTATCATATACAGGATAAAGACTGTGGGCCCTTCCACACAGCCCTATATTCCAGAATATCAAGGCAGAAAATCACATAATATCTGCTTTGAACTGGGTTATCTGAGTCTATACTCAGATAATATGGGATTTTCTGCCTTGAAATTCTGGGATATAGGGCTGTGTACATATAAGAGAGTACCTAGTACTCTGGACTCATCAAATTACTTATCAACCTCTGGATTTATCAAATTACTGAGCAAGGAGCCCCCAGTGGCGCAATGGGTTAAACCCTTGTGCCGGCCAGACCGCTGACAGAAAGGTTGGTAGCTTGGATCCAGAGAGCGGGGTGAGCTCCTGTCTGTCAGTTCCAGCTTCTCATGTGGGGACATGAGAGAAGCCTCGCACAGGATGTAAAACTTCTGGGCATCGCCTAGGCAATGTCCTTGCAGACGGTGAGTCCTCTCACACCAGAAGTGACTTGCAGTTACTCAAGTCTCTCCTGACATGAAAAAAAAATACTGTGCAGATTGTACACACAATCAGAAACTTCTCCATAAAAACTAAAACAATGAAGCAAACATATGTTTTTGTGAATACATTTTTCTTTTATAAATTATTAAGTGTATGTTTATACAGGAAATACTGTAATCAAGGTGAAATGTTTTCAAAAATAATGAAAATCTGATATTTAGCACAGCAGTGAAAAGGTAGTTCCAAGAACATCTTTAATTTAGTTTACTTTTGTTGATCCCAACATCAACATTTTGTAAGCTTTCTTTATCTGAAACTAATATTTCCTTGACCTTAACACACAGATTACTGCTCAATTTATTATGTACCGGAAACACAAGGAGAGAACAACTAACTTGGTGGCATTTGAAGTTGAACCCTTGCTAATAAATGAAGATTTCTAATGTTTATAACATCACTGTTACCTTCCTGTAAAAAGAAAGGTCACATTTCGTCATAACAATCATAACCCAAGTCTCAGTGGTTCGGCGTGTTCTTGCCAAATACGATAAAATCTGGATGTGCCCCAATGTTTTCATTCTGATATTGTCAAGATTTTTGATAAGCAAAAGATGATGCTCCCAATAGACTCAGCATATTGGCACTTCCTTGTATTTGTTTGGCTTGGATAGATACTGTTACAAAAGAGAAATGAGGCCAGATCTATTCATTCCAGGGTGATCTTCAATTAATGGATTTTAAGAAGTTGAAATCCTAAAAGACTACGCAGCATAGGAAGAAACATGTCAAATTTTGCAAGATCAGGTGCTAAGTTGCAACAAAACCAAAAACTATATTTGTCTTCAACAAATGTTTTCATACTTAAATAATTCTCAAGTTCCATACTACTTTTCTGAGCCAGTGTGATAATAAATTGTTTTATTTACCAAAAATCTCTGTGTTTTTGGACATTATTATAGTCCTTTCACTGTGTTATGCAGCTGGGTAGTGTTTCTCTCTTGCTTTGCTTGTTATTCTTGTGTGCCTTCAAGTCATTTCCAACTTATGGTGATCCTAAGCTTTTTTTGGTAAGATTTGATCAAAGCTTTTGCTTTCCTCTGAAGCAGAGAGAGTGTGACAGTGTTATCGAGGGAGATTTTAATCCTTTATATTTTCATTTTAATGTTACATTGGTGATTATGTTATATTAGTCATTGAGTGATTAGTAACTGAGAAGTAACCTATTAGTTATAAGGCACTGTTTCCTTTCTCAGCCTCTATCTTTTATAGAGGGAGTCAAAGCCTCTCAAGCTGAAATACAGTCAGTAATTGGTGATTCACTTCCTTCATTGAAGTACTTAAAATCCTTTGCTAGAGAGGTCTAAGGATATATTTCAGAGTAGTGTGCTAAAGGTCTTTAGCAAAAAGATCTCAGTACCTCACCAAACTACAAGCCCCAGGATTCCATAGAGTAAGCCATACAATACCATCAAAACCGCTATGATTTGGGTGGTGCAGGTGTATTCCTGGTCTACCACGCATACCTTCCAGCACAGTCTTCAGGTAGCAGCTGTTATCAGAATCTAAGCTGGTATAGAGAGAAACAAATTGGAAATGGTCATCTCCTTGACTTTAATTTTTCTTTACCAAGAATATGTTGGTATGTACTTGTTTATTCATTCAGTTGCTTCTGACTCTTCAGGACCTCATGAACCAGCCCACACCAGAGCTCCCTGTCAGCCATCACCATCTCCATCTCCTTCAAGGTCAAGCTAGTCACTTCAAGGATAACATCCATCCATCTTGCTCTTAGTCAATCCCATTTTCCCCAGCATAATTGTCTTCTCTAAGCTTTCCTGTCTTCTCATTAAGTGGCCAAAATACTTCAAAATACATGCCTCTAATGTCCTTCCTTTCAGTGAGTAGTTGTGCGTTATTTTCTGAAGTATGGACTGGTTGGATCTTCTTGTGGTCCAAGGCACTCTCAGAATTTTCCTCCAACACCATAGTTCAAAAACATCTATCTTCCTTTGCTCAGCCTTCCTTATGATCCAGCTCTCACATCCATAGGTTACTACAGGTAATACCATTGCTTTAACTATATGGACCTTCGTTGCCAGTGAACTCATGTTTCTATTCTTCACTATTTTATCGAGACTGGTCATTGCTCTCCTCCCAAGAAGGAGGATTTCCTGGCTGCAATCTGCGTCTGCAGTAATTTTAACACCTAGAAATACAAAGTCTGTCACTTCCACCATGTTTTCTCCCTCGATTTGCCAGTTATCAATCAGTCTGGTTGCCATAATCTTGGGGTTTTTTTTAATGTTTAACTACAACCAAGCTTTTGCACTTTCTTCTTTCACCTTGGTGATAAGGCTCCTCAACTCCTCCTCGCTTTCAGCCATCAAAGTGGCATCATCTGCATATCTAAGGTTGTTAATGTTTCTTCCAGCAATTTTAACTCCAGCCTTGGATTCATCAAGCCCCGCATGTCGCATGATGTGTTCTGCATATAAGTTGAATAGGTAGGGTGACGGTATATAGCTCTGCCATACTCCTTTCCAAATCTTTTCAGGCCCCTTCCACACAGCTGAATAAAATCTCACATTTTCTGTTTTGAACTGGAATATACAGTGTGGATTCAGATAATCCAGTTTAAAACTGATATTGTGGGATTTCCTGCCTTGATATTCTGGGCTATATGGTGGTGTGGAAGAGCCCTTACTTACAGATACACAAACCTTTAGTTTGGGTTCTTCCAATCAAGCCTCAGCTTCCAACATTGTTTAGACCCCTAAGAACTGAACCTGATCACATCCTTGCTTGAATTTTATGCTTGAATTTTCCTAGACACACATGCTGATCTATTTCTTTGGGCTCTTCCACACAGTCATATAACCCAGAATATTAAGGCAGAAAATTCCACAATATCTACTTTGAATTGGGCTATCTAAGTCCACACTGTCATATATTCCAGTTCAAAGCAGATAATGTAGAATTTTATTCAGCTGTGTGGAAGGGGCCTTAGTAATGTCCGAGCATGACAAAGTTAGAACCCAGTTATGGGATTTCATTAATGTATACTTATCTGGAAATAATAGGACTGTGAGGTGTAGGAGACTTCAGTGACTTCAGATAACATGAGTTCAGGGTGACATATTTTAATTTAGCTTTTCATTTCCTAATAATGAAGGAGTTACACTCCACTCTGTGGCAAACCCTTAGCAATATCACTGTGAACCAGGGATGCTATGATAATTGGTAACTATTACATCTGATGTTCTGTAATGATTTGACATATCATATTGTTAGGTCTTGTGTTTATTTCCCTGGTCCACCAAATGTTGACAAATGTCAAAGTAAACTTGGGTTCCCTGCGGATTTCATTTTTCTTTTGTAGATTTCTATAAGCATAATAACTGTCATGAAATTTGTCAGCTAGGCGCTGGGATATTTTTAAGTCTCTGTTTTCAGGCAAAATTCCTGCAGCAGATCATATGCCATTATCTGAAACTGACTCTAAAGCAAGAGACCTCATTACTGTGGAAATTATTGTGTGAAGCCTGTGCATTCTGGTTCATGAGTATTTGCAACCAATTCTTTTGACATTTGGTGTATTAATAGGTCTCTGTTAACTGTAAGTATCGTGTTGAACATTAAGGTTAATGCAAATTGTCCATGAATATTTTTAAAAAGAAAAAAATGCTTGGCCCAGAGATATTATCTTCATTCATAGTTCCAGCAAATTAAGAACTACATATTATGATCTAAGAATGCAAAGGGATTTTTCCTTTAAAGCTCATGACTTCAGCATTATTCAATTACTACTTTGCAACACAAAGGATCTACATGTTGCTTATTATATCTGAGGACTTTACTTTGCTACAAAAATACATTTGAACATTACATCTTATTTATCAAAACATTAAGTGCTATTAACTCTAGACCTTGCAAGCAAGTAGCACATGAAAGTCCTGAACCAGAAATGGTTGAGATGGAAACAGCTATTCACATGAGTTAACAGGCTTAGAGATGAATGTTAAGAAAACAAAACAGTACCACAAATGATTTATGTAATTTTAAAGTGGGTAATGAAGACACTGAAATAGTTAAAGATTTTCTATACCTTGGCTCAGCCATTAATCAAACTGGAGAGTTTATTTAAGACAAGAGAAGACAGAAGACCTGAAAGGATAGCTAGCTATGAAGACACTAAATAAGATTCTCAAGTATAAAGGATATATCATTAAATACTATATCATTAAATACTGTTTTCATTTTTTATGTCTGAATATGAAACCTTGAATAGTTGAGGAAGCCAGAAGGAAGAAAATCAACTCATCTGAATGGGATGTTAGAGGACATTTTATAGATACCATGAAGTGCTAAAAGAATGCATAGGTCCAGGAGAAAAGCAGGCCTGAATTCCCACTAGAAGCACAAATGACTAAATGGAGGCTATCATATCATGGACATCATATGAGATTATAGAACAGATAGAAATAAAATTACAATTGAATGTAATGTGGAAAGCAATAGGAATGGAGGAAGACTACGCTATAGTTGGATAGACTCAATCAAGGAGGCTATAACACTGAATTTGGAAGAGCAGTGCAGGAACGATATACAGTGTTCCTTTGCTACTTTGCGGTTCTCTTTTAGCAAAACTCACTGTTTCGTGGGTTTTTGAAAATATTAATATTAAATATTAAATATTTATGCCCAGTGGAGTCCAGGGACCCCAGAAGTGCGGCGGCCTGAAGGAAGGCCTGCCTCTCTGGCCTCCTGCTGCCTGCGTGGCTCTGGAGGCTGTGCAGAGGCCAGGGAGGCAGACAGGTGCCCTTGAGATGGGCTGGGGGGCGGGTAAGGAAGCATGTGTAAGAAAATAATATATAAAATATATAAAATAATGTATAAATATTAAAATTAATATGGTGTCCCTACTTCACGGATTTTCACTTATTGTGGGTGGTCCTGGAACGGAACCCCCACGATGAGTGAAGGAACACTGTAACAGGATCTTTTAGGGGTCTCTCATTCCTAGGGCCACTATAAGTTGAAGTCATAAGCACAAATCCTAATAATTGAAATTTTTTAATTGTTAAAAGTTGCCATTTAGTTCATGGATTGAAACAGTGTAGTATGATCACCACACCCAAGGATACTTGAAACCATGGATAATAGTGAACCCAATATTTTTAACTATACTTGGGCTGGAAACATATCATAGAATTGCACTGGAGAACATAAAGATGCCCACAAACATTCCCAAAGAGGGATATTTTGTGGAGCATGGATAAGTGAAACCATGAATAGTGAAAACATAGATTACATCAGGCCACAGGATTATCTGTTCTTGTCCACAATCCAAATTGTCTCATCTGGATACAAGAAAGTTATCTGTTGTTCCCTTCCTCCTCTATGTTACCTTCTCAGAAATCACACAAGATCTGTCTGCTTAACAAGAGAGCCATGTGACACATTTCCACAAATTCTCCTGTAACAACACCAAGCAAACAACAGCAATGAATTATTTTCAAGGTGAGCCAATATATTTTTAGATGAACCTTGTTAAATTAACAAAAAATCACACACTCAGACATTCTTCTATGATTTTTCAATAATTGTGGAAAGATGAAAAAAATCATCCATCCAGACATTCTATCTTGCTTGCTCTTTTCAAAAACCTGGCAGCAAATCAATACATTAAGGTTATCTGCCTTATGTTCTGTACGAAAGACAAAATCATAGTCTAAAGTAGAAAAAATAGGTTATTTGAGCTATCCGCAGATTTTACATCTGACATATTGAAAAGATCCTCACACATTGCTGAGACAGGTTTCCAAACATTTTAGCAGATTGACTTTTCCAGATTGAAAACAACCTGTTTCTATAATACCTTTAGAATTGCTTTGCATATCTTGAATATTTTGTTAGTATTATAAGGAGGTGA